AAAGGTGTAAGTAGATAAGGTAAGGGGTCCCTGGAGAAAGAGAACCAGGCATGACTTTCTTGACATAAGAGAGGCCATTTTTGGCCTAAGCCATTTGGTGATGTAAGCCTGGCCACAATCTTGCCCTTGAACAGGTCTCAGTAATTAAAGATCTTAAGGGAACAAAAGAATGCAAAAACAAACAACTGTTATCAGGCGAGAGAAGTTATTGTACTATATCAAAGATAATATATCAGTTGTAAAGACTCCCAGTTTTGCTTCACTGGTAAAGATGGGCCTGAAGTGCTCAACCGCCAGATCAGCTGGAACCTAAGGGATAATGATGTGGACCTTTTCTGACCCTCATGACTTCAGTCAACTCAAGCTTGGACTCCTGTGGACCCTTCATGAATATGCACGTATCCTTAGCTTAAAACTTTCCCAATTTTATTGTTTTGGGAAAGACCCCTGGTGTTCTCCTTACTTGTTGTAAGTAATAAATCCTTCTCCCACTCTTTGGCTTGGTTGTATCTTTTAGCTTGAAACCCACCAGGAGGCAGACTGGGTTTTTCAGGTAAAAAGGGTGAGCAGAAGAAACCACTGCTCTACCTGGAGCCCTGATAAGGGTTCAGAGTCCTGAGGACTGAAGGTGGGAGTCCACCCCTGGACCAAGAATTCCAACCAAGAAGGAAGCCATAGCCCATGACCTACACCCATGTGACTGTAGCCCCCATCTGTTTTTTCTTTCTTACTGAAGGAGCCATATGAAATATTAACACTTCCCCATTAAAAAAAAAAAAAAAAAAGTATTATATTTAAATGTTTCCTCTTCTTTTCCTGCTCTTAAGCAGAGTGTATTGGGGTGGCTGAATTTATTATTGAGGTCGCAGAATGGGGTAGTGGGGTTACTATGGAATTGGGAAAGGAGTGGACGGTTCCTGGGAGATCCTGGATTCTGACCAGTGGCCCATGATCTCACCTGTAGGAGCACCCCCCACTCCCCCACTTGCCTGCAACAGTTCACTTTGACAGTTCACATTGCCCTGACTGTCCACCTGCTGTGTGTTCCTGCACCACCCTTGACTTTTTTATCCCCACGGCTGCACTTACTGATTAAACTGTATCCCTGTTTCATGCTTCTATGCTAAATTCCATGAAAATAAGAGCCATTTGAATTTAGCTCACTTTTCTATCCTAGCCCAGCATGGAACAGGCACTCAATAATATTCAATAAATCATGACATCATGACTTTACAAGCTTTTTGTCACCAGGCCATCTGGGGTGATCCAAATGACCAGGAGGACTTCCACAGGACCAGACATGAGGTGGGGGGAAAGGACACCCCAACTCTAGTCCTCAACCCAAAAGCTCTGAATGGAAATTCTGGTTCCTAGGCAGACAGTGGAGGGGGGAAATGGGAGGAGTAACTGTTTCCCAAGGACTGTCCCAGGTCTCAGGGAACTGCAGTCTTTTCAGACCCCACGAGTTTAGGTGTCAACTGCTGAGCCAGGGAAGCTTTCCTGGGAGTGTTTCCAAGTGGGGTCAGCAGTGACCTAGCAGGTGGTAATGGGAGAGAAGAGTTCGAAGCAGGACTGGGGAATATGGATTCATGATGCATGCAGCCAGGCATCCTTACCTATTCTGTGACTAAGAGAAGGTGAACATCCACTGGTTCCCTGGGCGTCCCAGGATACTTGATTCTGGATAAGGAGGGGGCTGAGGAGGGGCAGGCATTCAGGATGAGGGGCTCCAGTGCCATCAGCTTATCACACAACCGCCTTTTTCCTTGAAGGGATTCTTGTCCTTAGGGATGCCTTTGAGAAGAGGGTCGTTTCCTGCTTCGGCCTCCACGTAATCCTTGATTTCCTGTCCTGTCTTAGAAATCTGCGAGAAAGTAAAGTGTGCTTCTAGCCCTTGTCTGTGGCTCAGAATTCATGATTTGTTCAGTCCCAAGAAAGCAGGCTTCTGGGCAGGGTGGGGATAGAGGCCGGAGAGGAGAAAGATGAGAGGCACAGGCAGGTGTGAGTTCCTTGACCAGAACCGCAAAGCCTGACTCTTACCCTGAGGGACTTTTTGGCCAGGCCAGGCCCAGGGACAGGGCCGGACACATTGAGCCCTCGAGGCTCTGAGGTTATCTCTTACACACCTTTGCGGGATCAAACCCTGGCCTCCTTCCACTTCCCATCCCATTCCAGAGGCACCTCCCGCTGTTTCTACTGCCCTGGAGAAGGCCCACCACCTTCTGGGCTGTCCATCACTTCCTCCTTCGTGTCCCGGCTCCATGAGGACCAGAAAGGGATGGAGAAGAGGAAGCAGGGAAGGGAATAAGAGGCTCACCGGAGCTCTCGGGTTCTTCACTTCCTTCTTCAGCTGCTCCACCTCCATCTTTAAGAGCTCCTTCTCACTGAGCTCCTGGGCCATCCTGCCCTGGAGAGACCAGGTCCTGGAAAGGATTCCACAGCTGGGATTGCAAATCCCCTGGGCTCCCCCAGCTCCCTCCTCTGTACTCCCCACACCTCAACTTCTACCCTCTTCCCTGCTCACCGTATATCCTCATCACTCACCGTAGATTCACTGCACCCCCGCCCCCATCCCATTATGAGTCTAGCCTCCAGAGGAGAGGATGCTCCCAGCCTCATGGGGGAGGCACACACAATCTTTGCCCTTTAGATAAGACCTGTCTATGGAGGAAAAGGGAATCAGAGCATGGAGAAGGGAGAGAAGAGTTTCTTTCAGTGAGGCAGATTTGGGAAGCAAAGTTATTGTTCCACCTAATGACACAGGTAGAAGTTTTCAGGAAACTCCAGGTCCTGTCAGAAGAGAGAGTAGTTTAGTGACTAAGAGAAAGACTCTGGAATCTGCCAGCCTCCAACTCTGATCGTGACTCTGCTGCTTCCAAGCTGTGTGGCCTTAGGCAAGTTGCTCATCCTCCTTAAGCCTTAGTTTGCCCATCTGCAAAATGGGTATAATAATGCTACCTACCTTATATGATTATTGTGAGTACTAAGAAAATAATGCATGTAAAATATTTTAACACACTGCCTGGCACATAATGAACACAATACATTTATCATCATCATCATCCTCATCATCACTACTACAGGGTTATCAGGAAGGCCTGCCTAGTGCCTAACCCAATAACTCTAAGGCTAGCTCCCAGCCCAGTGCAACCTCAGCCCCTCTTACCTGCCAAGAAAGAACGTGCACTTCAAGTCTTGTCCTCGACCCAGACAAGATGGAGTTTGAGCCTCCTAGCTCCTCAGCAGCTGAAAGTCTTTGGATAAAGCAGATGGTTTGGAAGCCCAAATCTCTGATGCCTAAGCTGATCATAGGCTCAAGGTTCTAAGCCCATCCAGCAGCCTGAGCCTCCAAGACTGCCACCACTGCAGGCACCCTGCCCCCTGCGTCGGCCCCCCTCCTGTAGTGACCCCTCTGGCTTACAGCCCGCTTCCCTGTTCTCACCCTCCGGCCCTGATTGCTCCCCTTCCCCGGCCTTCTCTCCCCAGCCCTCTCCTCCCATACCTCTGAGCCTGCTCTGAGGCTATTCTTCCCAATGAGGCAATTCCTAGACCAGCTCCTGACTTCCCTCACCGGAGAAGCCTTGTGTCCCCATTTCGAGCCCCACCATTTCACCTTACAAGGTTCTCCCAGCTCAATCTTCATTCACTCATTCAGTAAAAATGTACTCACTTAGGACACTGTGCCTGTCAGCACTTGGGCCCATGGCCACACCTCTAACACCTGTGTCCACACGTTTTTGCCTCCATGCCTCCCCTTGAGCCCCATGTGTGGGTCTCCCTCAGCAGTCCCCGAGCTCAGGGCCCACGTCCTGATCTCTCTCTTGGTCTCCTCCCAGGACCACCCAAGGGCTGTGCCATTTAACAGTCACTGAGCTCCTGCTCAGGCCATCCAATGACAGGAAACCCTCTCAAGGAGCAGATGTTAAGGGACCGATGTGGTCAGTGAGGGATCCTCTTTTTTCTCCTGACTCTAGAATGAATGACAGACTCCCCAGTGGGAGGGGCTGGGAGGAGGCCCGGAGTCCATCCTAATTTCCCCTGCTCCAGGATCCAAGTCCCACTCACAGCTCTGAGCACTAAGAAATTGAGATCAGGACAGGACCCCGGAGGTCATCTGGTCTGAGTCTCCTGTGAATGCAGGAAATGGAGCACAGACCTCCTGAGGCAGGCTCAGTGCTCCGGCCACCGCTGCCTCCTGAGACTGACCTGTTAATCTGGAATTTAAACGTAGTGCTTCTCAAAGCCAAGTCCTTCCTGTTGTCCCATCTGAGTCCCTTGTTCTACGCTTAGTCAATTTCATCTTGTCCTGCCGCTATCAGGCACAGAGCATGTACATACACCAGATCTTCATTGCAGGTAACCCTTCAGAGACTTGATAATGATTCTCAGGGGACCTCTGGCTGCATCTTCCTGGTGTCCAGCCTGGTTTCCCTGGCTGCTGCATCGGCTGTTTTCCATTGTTGCGGCACCACTGCCCTAGGGCCCCCAGCACAACCGGTCTCCATATCCTCTCCACCCTCCAGTCCCCTGTCTCTTGGTGACTCATCCCCGAGCTTCCCAAGGAAGCCCCCACCCTCTGCCCTTTCCTCCCCTTCCATGAGTGGAAAATCCATCTCCACCCCCAGAGCAGGCCAGCCCCCTTCCTCCTGTCTCCCATCCCAGCCCCCGCTGCAGTTTCCTCTCCAGGCCCAGGGAGCAATCACAGCCGCCCCGACCTTGGCTTCCTCTGCTGGGAGGGATTGGGGGGCTGGGCCCCCACAAGGGGCCCCCAGCTTCCCCCTTCCCCTGGGCAGGGGACAGAGAAGCACAGGCCCAGGGAGCGGGGACTAACTTCCTCTTGTGCCGGAATGAGCATGTCTGCCCTTTGCAAGTGGGTTTGGGTCTCTCAAGCAGAGGAAACCAAAAGCAGTGAGAGGGAGGGAAGGCGGAGCGACCAATCAAGGGCAGGGTGAGGCGCAAAACCAGCGGCTCCCTGGGGAGCCAGGCAGAGGCGGGGGGCCATGGCGGAGCTGCAGCAGCTGCAAGAGTTTGAGATCCCCACAGGCCGGGAGGCCCTGCAGGGCAACTACAGCTCCCTGCTGCGAGTCGCAGACTACTGCGAGGACAACTACGCGCAGGTAAGCAGAGCAGGCTCAGCCCCGGCGGCCCAGCCCCTCCAGGGGCCCGGACCCCATCCTGACAGGTGCTCGGCCTGGGCCTTGGCTGATCTATCCTCCCACTCCAGGTCGGCTTCATCCCAGTCCCGCAAACTCTAACGCTGACTCATGCTCTCCAAGCCCCCACTGTGCCCCTTCTCTCTCCCAGAGCCTCAGAGATGCCCGGCAGGCAGCGCTACCCCGTCCTGCTACAGGCCTCATCCTAGGCTCATCTCCCTCCTAGCCTTTCACTCAGATCCAGAGGCCCAAAGACTTGTCCTCACACACCTGTTGGTGCCATCATTCCACGTTCAGGCTGGCTCTAGGTGAGCCAGAAGAACTTCCCATCGTCATGAACTTGAGATGGACGAGGGAAAGCTCTGCTCCTGAGATCTGAGGGAGAGCCGAGAGATGTCAGACTACGCTAGGTTAAAGAGATGGGGTCTGACTCAGAGGCAGGGAGATGGACAATAAGACTGCCGGGAACAGGCTACCGGCAAAAGATAAGGATGGTGGCATTTTAGAATAGTTTTCTAAATTGTGGGGTCGTCCCAGGACCGCAAGTCTGGAGCATGGGAAACTTAACAACGATCGAGCACCTCTGTTATTTCATTAACCTTCTTTTTTTTTTTTTTTTTTTGCGGTACGCGGGCCTCTCACTGTTGTGGCCTCTCCTGTTGCGGAGCACAGGCTCCGGACGCGCAGGCCCAGCGGCCATAGGCTCAAGGGCCCAGCCGCTCCGCGGCCTGTGGGATCTCCCCGGACCGGGGCACGAACCCGTGTCCCCTGCATCGGCAGGCGGACTCTCAACCGCTGCGCCACCAGGGAAGGCCTCATTAATCTTCTTAACCACCTTGTGAGGCAGTATCATTATTCCAATTTCATAGATGAAGAAACAAACAACAGTTCAGGGAGGTGAGGTGACTTGTCCAAGTCATACAGCTCGGCAACGGTAGAGCAGGCGTCAGCCCAGGACTCCTGACTTCTGACGATGAGCCCCCTCCTCCCTGCCTTCCCCTCCCTGACATGCTGTATGATTTTAAGACAGTTATTTGCACTGGGACCTCCCGGCTCAGTAGGAGTGTGGGAAAAAACAAATAAATAAAAGGAGCAAGTGCTTATGGGAAAATGGCAGATTAAAGTGAGTCAATGATAACAACAGTTAAGCCGCTTTGCTCTGCACCCGAACTGCTCTCATTGCCTCCTTCAGTCCTCACCCCAGTCTGTGAGGTGAGGACCACTCCCACTTCACAACCAGGAGGCTGAGTTTCGGAGAAGTTAACTCACTTTCCCAAGGTCTCCAAGCTAGTGGTAGAATCTGGATTCGAACCGGCAACTCTGACTCCAGAGCAGCACCCCCAAACCTCTGGTTGAAAATGTTACCCCGCGTGTAGATATTGAGTGACTGATTGTAGCTACTGCAGATGAGCTGGAATGTGGCTTGTAAACCAGCTCTATTCTCCAAGCACTGGAAGGTATGCTCCTTCTATGGACTAGGATGGAGGCTGGCCTTCCCATTCCTTCAGTATCTTCTGCGCAACTCAAAGCACTTCCAGATGGGTTCTCGTTTGCACACAGTGTGCACGCAGAATTTGAGGTCGCAAAGAGCTGAGTCCAATTTCCAACTCCTTGACCTGAGACAAGTTTCCCCTCTGATTTTTTTTTTTTTTTCTTTTTTTTGCGGTACGCGGGCCTCTCACTGTTGTGGCCTCTCCTGTTGCGGAGCACAGGCTCCGGACGCGCAGGCCCAGCGGCCATGGCTCACGGGCCCAGCCGCTCCGTGGCATGTGGGATCTTCCCGGACCGGGGCACGAACCTGTGTCCCCTGCATCGGCAGGCGGACTCTCAACCACTGCGCCACCAGGGAAGCCCTCCTCTCTGATTCTTATACCCTCCTTCACAGTGGTCATATGGGTTAAATGTAATGACGTATTAAAGCATTTAGCCCAGCGCCTCCTCCTTAAGAAGGGCAGGATAAATGGCAGCTGTTACCATTATCACCATCATCATCATCTTTCATCAGAAGGATGGAAGACACATATAGATATTAAAAGTCAGTTCTAGTGAGGTGAAACAGCCCCTGCAAAAACACTCAGGGCATCGGAAGCCCTGACCCAGGTCAGAATCTGTAGATTTATGCTTCCTTCATGCAGAACACTAACTACTAGACCACACTACCAGTTACCTTTCCTGACTTCTCTGACGATCTTTGTCTGGGGAGCAAATGCTAAGGAAGGGTTTGGATGACTTCTCAGAACTGGTCTTAAACAAAGACAGGTTCCCACGCCCTCCCTCCCTCCCTCACCCCTCCCTCCACCCCAACCAGGTGTCAGGAAACCCACGGGGAATGGGGGAGGGCAGGCTGGGGTGAACTGCAGAGTTCTCTGTCAGGGTCCATTGGATTTATAGACAGGGTGATTTGCATGATGAATAAGCAGTCATCCATGAAGATGGATCCCAGACCTTTGTCTCTCCAGACCTCACTTTCGATTAAGACCAAAGCCAGGGGTCAGTAGGCATCCAGGCTCTAGCCTCCCAGAGCTGGGCCCAAGCAGACATTTTTCCTGTTTGGACTGACAGGAAAAATCCAGTGATGAATCCCATATGCCAGTCCAGGGAGGGGACAGTACAGGAGAGGCCAGCTAAGACCAGAGAAGTAGCCACTGCTCCCTTCTGGGCCTTTGTTCATTTCCTTGCCTACTAAAGGAAGGTCTTGAACTAGAATAAGACCTGCTATGCTTTCTGGTTTGATTTCTTTGCCTTTTCAAGGCACTGAGTTACGTATGTTGATGAGATGCAATTAGATGCAAATGAGCAGCTCTTTCCTTCAGTTGGAGCAGAAAGGCAGGGAGGGGCAACTGAGGGGAAAAGCATGGAGGGGGTGTGTGGGGCGGGGTGTGTGTGTGTGTGTGTGTGTGTGTGTGTGTGTGCTGTCCAGAAGGTTCTAGGCCTGCCCTTTGGCTCAAGCCTGGCTTGGGCTACACTGGAGGCACCCAGGTCTCTCTCAGCACCCTGCTCGGACAGGTTCTAGGTCTGTTCTCCACTGCAGGCCCTGAGGAGTACCTGAGAGCCCTTAGCAAGGAGACCTCGGTGTGCAGCCTTGCTGGTCACTCCGCTGGCCTCTCCCCAGACTTGCCATGGATTGGCCCCCTACCCTCCATGTCCCTGACCTGAGATGAGGAAGCTGTCTGGGGAAGCAAATGACTGGTGAAGCTTTGTCCCAGCCCCGCACAGTCCGATCTGGGACCGAAAAAAAACCCTCTTCTGTCTTCAGCCACTCCCTGCCCACCCCACTGCCACTGACTGGAAGTGTGGCCCCGGCCAGTACCTGGCACAGTGCCTGGCACGCAGCAGGAAGATGCCCAGCAAGTGTCTGGGTTTGCATTCAATCCACTGAGTAACTCACAGACACATATTCATTAAGTACCATCTGTGTGTTGGGCACTATTCCAGAACAGGATACAGAATATAACAGATGCGCTCCCTGCCCTCACAATGCTTACATTTGTGTGTGTGTGTGTGTGTGTGTGTGTGTGAGTGTGAGTATAGATAATAAAGCACATAGATAAATAATTTCTGATAGTGCTAAGTGCTATGAAGAAAAGAGAACAGAGTAAATCTGATAGTAAGTCAATACAGAAGTGGGCTGGGGGAGATCTTAGGGTGGTGAGGGGAGGTGTCTCTGAAGTGCTGAGATTTAATAAGGATTCTAGAAAGAAATACAGCAAGTGCAAAGTCCTGAGGTAGAGGAACTTCCCTGGTGGCACAGTGGTTAAGAGCCCGCCTGCCAATGCAGGGGAGATAGGTTCGATCCCTGATCCGGGAGGATCCCATATGCCACGGAGCAGCTAAGCCCGTGCGCCACAACTACGGAACCTGTGCTCTAGAGCCCACGTGCCATGACTACTGAGGACGTGTGCCACAACTACTGAAGCCTGCACACCTAGAGCCCGTGCTCCACGACAAGAGAAGCCACCGCAACTAGAAGTCTGTGCACCGCAATGAAGAGTAGCCCCCGCTCGCTGCAACTAGAGAAAGCCTGCACGCAGCAACAAAGATCCAACGCAGCAAAAAAAAAAAAAAAAAAGTCCTAAGGTAGAAACAATCTTAGCTTGATCAGGAAGAGAGACCCAATGGCCAATGTGGCTTGAGGGACATGAGTGAGGGAGAGTGGAAGGCAATGAGGGTGAGAAAGAAAGCGGAGCCAGCCTTGTGAGGCCCTATATAGGCCACGGTTAGAAGCTGCTTTATTCTCGGTGTGTTGGGAAGCTGTTGGAGGGAATGGATGATTGAAGTCACCCTTCCTGGGCCTCAGTTTCTTATCTATAAAATGGATCAGATTATTGCTTCCCAAACACCAGCTTGAAGACTGGAGATAAACCAGGAGCACAGGAGTCGCCTGAGGAACTTTTAGGGGTACAGATTCATTGGTCTCGCGCCCAGGGGATTCTGGTTAGAAGGTCTGGGATGGGGGCATGTGGTTGGTTGTTTGGTTTTCAAGTCTGAGAATATCTCTTCCAGCCAGTATTGACTTCCTCTTTCCTTTCTACCATTCACCCTTTAGCTCTCACCCCCCCCCCCAAAAATATATATCTTCAGGAGGATGGTGGAGCCAATCCTGTGTGACTATTTGAGAAGGGTGCCTTCTCCTTCCCTTGCACCCAGTCCTCAGGGCTGCAGATTCACTTTCCTGATGTCCCCTGAGTCCTTCTTACCACATCATTCTTACGGAAACCTCCTCAAACATCTGAGGGTTGCCACTTTCTCCCAACTCAGCCCCCACCTTTCCTATACCCCATCCCATCCCAGCCCACCCAGCCGCGGCCCCAGTGGAACATGCTGGCCTCAGGCCAGGGCTGTGTGTATTTCAGGCCACAGACAAACGGAAGGCGCTGGAGGAGACCATGGCCTTCACCACCCAGGCCCTGGCCAGTGTGGCCTACCAGGTGGGCAACCTGGCTGGACACACTCTGCGTATGTTGGACCTTCAGGCGTCCACCCTGCGGCAGGTGGAAGCCCGTGTGAGCACGCTGGGCCAGGTAAGGGCTGTGGGAAGGCTGCTCGCCTCAGACCCCAACTCTTCAGCCCCACCTGGACATCTTCTGCAGCAAAATTTTTTTCTTGCCTCCCTCCATGTCCAAATGCCCACCTGTACCACAGAAGGCTGGCACTCCCCAAACTTTTTGAGCCTTCTCGTCTTTGTGGCTGTGTCTCAGGGGTGAGCCTTGCTGCCCCATCGGACCAGGAACTCCCTGATGGCAGAACTTTATCTTTCTCTGAATTCTATCCTACATGGTAGAAAGCAGGCTCTCCCTATCACGGTGGCTGCATAGGACAGGAAAGAGGAAAATGGACCCTGTTTATTTCCATATAAACACGGGTGGTGATTTTATAAATATCCCAGACTCAGAGTGCTTGCTTGGCAAGGTCATCCTCAGCCCTGGAAGCACTGCCACCACCACACAGCAATCCCAGCCCATCTAGCATACGCACCCTCCTCCTTCCTTCCTGGATCCTTGGCGGAGGAATTGCCCCATAAACCACACGCACAGATCCAGCTACACATTGGTCTGGCCTGTGCATCACTCACATGTTCAGTGTGGGTGTGTCTTTTCCTCTCACCCCAGCAGATTGGAGTTCCCACCCTCTCAGTGCTGTAGGTTTCTCCACAGTACATTCCAAGAGGAAGTTAATTCACTTATATTATTGTACCCGCAAAGGAAGAGCTGATCCAGCCACAATTCTCAGCCACCTCCACTTTATCCCCCTCTGCTCCCAAGCCAGCCCAGTCTCTTCCCAGCATCCCCAGGGATGTTGTGTTTTCTCTTCCTCCGTTCCTGCTCAGCTAATAATAACCCTTGTTCTCTTCCACCAGGAAGTTGCTCCAGAGTGGTTCCATCCTCAACTGGCAACCCTTTCCCCAAATGCTGTCTGCCCTTGGGGACAAAACTCACCCTTTCTCTGGACTTCCCTGCCTCCGATGATCCCTCCTCCCACCCCAAAGTCTTAAGGGGAAGGGTGCTGTGCAGAGGCTGCCCCACTGTCATCTCCAACCCTGTCTTGCAGATGGTGAACATGCATATGGAGAAGGTGGCCCGAAGGGAGATCGGCACCTTAGCCACCGTCCAGCGGCTGCCCCCCAGCCAGAAAATCATCGCCCCTGAGAGCCTGCCTCCCCTCACACCCTACTACAGGAGACCCCTCAACTTCGGTTGCCTGGATGACATCGGTCACGGGGTCAAGGTAGAGAGAGGGGCTCCTCCTCTTTCTCCAGAGCCCACCCTCTTCTTTTTTTTTTTGGCTGTGCCACGCAGCATGCGGGATCTTAGTTCCCTGACCAGGGGTCGAACCTGTGCCCCTTGCAGTGGAAGTGCGGAGTCTTAACCAGTGGACCACCAGGGAAGTCCCCCCACCCTCTTCTGCCTCATGGCTCTCTTCTCTCTAGACCCTCAGTTTTCTTCCACAGCCATGTTCTTGTCCCAAGCTACAGTCCCTTTCCGTCCTCACTCCCTGAAGCCACCACCCTAAGTGGCTACCCTACTCCACAAGGCCTCCTTAGAGGAGTCCCCTCACCCCCTTCCTCCTTAAAAATTCTTCATGACCCCTCTCTTCATAACTGACCTTTACTCTGTATCACACGATCTGCTGCGAGTGACATCTGGGCACCCTGCCCCTCCTTGTGGGTGGCGGGTGTGTGTGAAAGGGAAGAGGGGGGAGGGAGAATTTCAGGGTGTGCATGAGAATGGCCAGCCACATGAGATCAGCAACTTCCTCTGTCTGGAGGTTTGAGGTCACTGCACTGAACAGTCACCCCAGAACTGCTGTTGGGTGGGAAGGGGCTGGGACGCAGCCACTCAAAGGAAGACACGGTGAATGACTCTGGCATTTTCTTGACAGCCCATGTCCTTCTGAGAGGTGGGAGAGGACACCCCCCCATCACATTTTGTTGATTACTTGTCCCCACACTCCAACATTCCAGATTAGACTGGACGTTCCCCTGTATCTAAATGGCCCCTTGATACCCTTAACACGCCATCTCCCCCCAGAAAGAGAAAGCACACTCCCTCCTTCAGTCACCAGGCCTCCTCACCAGTAAGTTCTTCCTTCTGTGTCCAACTTAAATTCTTTATGCTTGAGCTCGAGTCCCTTTTTGTCTTGTCCCCTGTGATGGACAGCAGAGGACATCATCCCCCATGCACCCACTCTATGTAGGGGAAACCCTGTCACTAACAGAGGTGCTCTCTTGCATCTGGGTTTGCACCTTGTCACTGGTATACCCTAAATGTTCTGCTCCTCTCTGCCCCAAACTCCCCAAAGCCAGTTCCCCAGGCCTGCGAAAATGACAGGTGGGACATTTCTAAGTCAACCTCTACCTCCTCAGCCGCGCACTGGCGTTGGGGTTTCTCAGAGTCAGGGACCACCAAGCTGAGCGCTTGAGATGCTTTTGCGAGCGGGTGGGGCTCAGCCGCTGAGGCTATGCAGAGGAAGTGGCCTTCTGACCGTGCCTGTCTGAGCCTAGGCAGGCTTGAGCACTGGGATCCAGGCAGCGAGCAAGTGTGGGTGGGGCGGGGTGGGAGAGGGGGGCTGGGAAGTGGAACCGGGAACTTGCTGTGTCCGCGCTCTCCCTCCCAGTTCTCGTCTGCCCCTCCCCCATTTCCTCTCTGGGATGAGGGGGCTATTGCAGGCCCCCCCGGGTGTCAGCCCCGCCCCCTGTTCCCCCCGCAGGATCTGAGCACACAGCTGTCGCGGACCGGGACCCTGTCTCGAAAGAGCATCAAGGCGCCTGCCACACCCGGCTCCGCCACCCTGGGGTGAGGCCTCCCCGCAATTCTCACCTGCGCCGCCCCATCCAGAAACCCTACTCCCCTACAGCCCCCTTCAAGCCGGGCGCCAAACCTCCTCCTCCGCCAGTTGCCATCTCCCCCCTGTACCGACCGCCTGCTCGCCTGATGCCTTCCCCTTGACGACACCCCCTCTCTGCCCACCCCCAGGAGAGCGCCCCGGATCCCCGAGCCTGTGCAGCTCCCCGTCGTGCCGGACGGCAAACTCTCCGCCGCCTCCTCGGCCTCTTCCCTGGCCTCGGCCGGGTGAGCCGCACAGGTCCAGGTTGGGGGTGGTCGTGAAGGGCGGGGGTTTAAGAGGACTCAGGGTCACGGGGGCGGGGCTTATGACGGAAGGGGCGGGGGCAGTCGGGTGCTGAGTTAGGAAGGTGTCCCTCCCCCGCCCCCAATCTAGCCGAGCGCCCGCTTTCTCTGGTCTTCAGCAGCGCCGAAGGTGTCGGTGGGGTCTCCACGACCCAGGAGCAGGCAGTACCCCCACCTCCACCCCCTCCACCTGCTGCCGCCGAAGGTTTCCTGCCGCCCCCTCCGCTGGGCGAACTGTGCCTGCCCCCAACGGGTAAGGAGCTCTGCCCTCTCCTCCTAGCTCAACTTTGGGGTCGTTCTCACCTCCCACCCTCACCCTTGTTGGATCCAACTGGGTCTGTGTCAGTGATCACTTTGTCCAAGGCAGGAGTAACGGGAAGAAGGGCGGCGGAGGGAATGAACTAACATAATTTAGCCCCCGCTTTATACCAGACCCCAGGGTCAAAGCTTCTCATCCATTTTCTCACTTTTACTTAACCTCCTAGGATCTTCACACTCCTGAAGCTGAGCCTGAGAGGTTAAACTAAGTGCATTGGCTCACTCAGCCAAGTGGCAGAGTCTGACAGCCCTACAACTGTTCAATGTTACCGTATTTACTGAGCACCTACTACCTGCTAGAGGCATTGTGGGAGGACCAGGATGAATAGGGGGCTGAAAGCAGATTGCAAAAAATGGGTAGATCCTGGGGCCATGCTCTCCAACCTGAAGTTTCTTGGCCTGGAGGGGGGTTGCCTGTGTGACACTTGTAGCCTTTCTGCTTTTCCCTCCCAACCCCAGAGCTGCCCATGCCCCTGGACCTGCCCCCTCCTCCACCCTTGGATGTAGATGATTTGGGGCTACCACCTCCGCCACCACCAGGCTTTGGGCCTGAAGAACCCAGCTGGGTCCCTGATGCATACTTGGAGAAAGGTACTTGACTCCTGGGACTGAAAGGCACCAGATCCTGGGGTCAGGATTCCCCGCTCTTCTAGCCCAGAGCCATTCTCCCCTCCAGCTGCAAAAGGGGTGAGGCTGTTGTTCCCCACATCCCCATAGAGAAGAGAAGCAGCCGGCCTGGTATTGAATATTATCTCAGCTGGGGAGGAGTCCCGGGGCTTTGGAGAAGGCATCTCCTGCCCCACTCCCCACGTTGCTCCCTAGGGGTCCAGTATGTGGGCACCAGCATCCCTGTGGCAGGGCAGGAGGCACATCTCATGGCACCTTCTCCCGCCCTGCAGTGGTGACACTGTACCCATACACCCGCCAGAAGGACAACGAACTCTCCTTCTCTGAGGGCACCGTTATCTGCATCACCCGCCGCTACTCCGATGGCTGGTGTGAGGGTGTCTGCTCAGAGGGGTCTGGATTCTTCCCCGGGAACTATGTGGAACCCAGCTGCTGACAGTCTGGGCTCTCTGGGATGCTGACCCAAGCACAGCCTTGAGTGAGCCTTTTTGAGTCCCACACCGAAGGCGGCTCCACAGTCAAGACTGGACCAGGCCTGCACACCTCCTGGGCTGTGAGCTGTGTCTGTTCCTTCTCCAGAGGCCTGCTGGAGACAGGAAAGAACTGGAAACCAAGGAGTTTGGTGACCTTATCCACAGGGGACCCTTACGCCATGCATGACAGGGTCTCCAGCTTCAAGTGCCAACTTTGAATAAAACTCTGATGACCTGATTGCCCTGCAGGGCTGGGGAACCGAGGGACTGAAAGGCAACCCACTTGTAAGGCTCCCGCTAATTGAGCCCCCTCTGCCTGCCCTAAGCAGCAGTATCGGCCATCTCCTCGGTGCTCATTGAGCCCTCTGCACTAGACCCCTGTGCCCCTCTGCAAAGATGGGCTGCACCCTGCTCTTTTGCCTGTTGTTTGCTTTGTTATGTATTTAGTCTTGGTTCCCCAAGCTGGGCACTCCTCCCAAGAGTGGGGACCAGCTCCCTCACTTAAGTGGGGCTCTCTGAGAGCAGAGATCACCTCGCCCTCATCCCTCAGGCTGCGGCGCAAGAGATCTCAGCCACCTTCACCTCTTTTTTCTTTTTTTTGCGGTATGCGGGCCTCTCACTGTTGTGACCTCTCCCCTCGCGGAGCACAGGCTCCAGACAGGCAGGCTCAGCGGCCACGGCTCACGGGCCCAGCTGCTCCGCGGCATGTGGGATCTTCCCGGACCGGGGCACGAACCCGTGTCCCCTGCATCGGCAGGCAGACTCTCAACCACTGCGCCACCAGGGAAGCCCCTTCACCTCTTTTATGGCTCTGAAACACCAAAAGAGGGAGGAGGGCCTTGGGGTCCTGCTGGCTCTGCTTTAAAACATCATGACTTTCTGTTCCATACGGGAGAAGGGGGACTCAGAGGGCCCACTCGGCGGGGCAACTTTGGTTAAGTCCCTGGTTTCTTGCTGCATAGACGAGGCTGGGGTGCGAGGAGATATCTTCGGGGTCTGTGAGGTCCCTGGCTGGCCAGACCCGAGCCCCGGACAGTGCGATACCTCATTCGACCACAAGGAGGTGTCTGTGCCCTCTGGCTTTTTTTCCTGTGGGGATGCTGACAGGGTGGGGGGTGGGGAAGGGAGGCCAGGAGTACAGTGTAGGGTCACAGTAGGTAAAGCAAGATCTAGGCCTGGGACCGTCGGCAGAGAGCGCCACCCCTCTCCGCGGGGAGTCCGGTGCGGGGGAGGGGGTGGTGGAGAGTGCGGGACCTGGGTCCACTTGACAGAAGACTGGGGGTGGGAGGTCATGCAGCCCAAGGTTTAACTAAACCTTTAGTTAAAGGTTTAGTTGGTTTAACTAAACCAACGCAGCGGGAGATGTTCTACCCCGCCAGGGAACGCCTTCCTCCCAGCTGGGAGAACCAGGTTTTTGGAAACGCTGCTGCCTGCTCAGGTATGCGCACCACCCGGGTGGGGCAGACTCCGGAATTTGCTTGCAGTGGCACTGGGGGAGGCAGCAGAGCTGGGTTAACTGCATAGACGGGGACAGCTCCGAACTCCCTCTTTCAGTCCCCAAATGGACGAACCTAGGATTCCGGAAATTCCCGGAGGATCATACCAAAGCGAAAGGGAAAGGGGGTAATAAAGCTAGGTTTGTCTTTCCCGACCCCCACCCCCTCACCCCCTCCCCGCCCGGGTGCCCCCTGCAGGCCACGTCCTCAGCACGTCTTCAGCACCTGTTGCAGATGGAGGCGCACTTCGGTGGCTGTTTCCCAGGGCACCACCCTGGCGCAGAAGGAGCTGGGCTCGGCCTTCTGCGCCTCCTGGATAAGGCGGTGCATCGGGTAGCCGCGGCGCGGGAAGGCCACGTCGCCTCCTGCCAGCACCCCCATGGGGCAGAAGTCGTTGGCGCCGTCGCCCACGTAGAAAAGGCGCTCGAAGTGCACGCCGTCGTGGGCCCGCTCGCGCAGGTAGTCGCTGAGCACCTTGTGCTTGCACATGTTGGCGGGGCAGCGAGCGCAGCTGTGCGCGTGGAAGGGCCGCAGCGCCAGCAGCCCCCGAGCGTCGGGCCCCGACGGGTTGCTGAAGATGCGGCGGAACAGGCCGTGGTGGCCGGCGGCGCGCAGCGCACTCTCCACGCCAAAGGTGTTGGCGTCTGAGATAAGAATAACCTCAAAGCAGGCGCCCTGCTTGGCCACAAACTGCAGCAGCTCGCCCATGCCGGGCGACAGGGGGATGGCCTCGTAGATGGCGCGCAGGTCCCGGGGCCGCACGCCCTGCTCGCCCAGGTACTGGAAGACGCGCTGCATGTACTCGTTGTAGAAGCCCTCGCGGTAGGTGGCACGCAGGCTCTCAGGCAGCCGCTGGCCCGGCGCGGCGCGCACGATGGAGTCGTCGCTGTTTTCATCCACGATAGTCTCGTCAAAGTCGAAGGTCAGGAGGAAGCGCGGTGTGCCCTGCGCAGCCATCCCGCCGTCCTGGGAGCAGGGGAGAGAGGAGGGAGCGAGCGAGAGGGGGCGCGGCGGGAGCCGGCCAGGGAGAGGCTGGTTAGCGGGCCTCCGCCAGCGCTGGCACATCCAAGACCTGAGGAGGACCCAAGGCTGGTTAAGCAACGCCGTCCCCACCCCCAGCCTTCCCCGCCCACCCCCTTGCACCTCCCGGTTAACTGCGCTGGGGTTTATCCTCAGGGGACTATCCTCCTCGTGAACCCAGCAGGGCTTCTTTGGCACCTGCCTCTTCTACTCTCATCCGGGGCCATGGGGGCTTAACGAGGGTCAGCTTAAAAGAGTGGAAGAGCAGCTTCCAAGGGGGCACTCCTTTGGGGAGGTTTCTGGACTAGACTATTCTGGAGACTTCCAGTGACCCCAGCTGTCCGTTGGATACAGGGAGGGTGGGAGGGAATCTCTACTGCCTCTTCCCTAACATAGTTAAGGGAAAACACCCTATCCAAATGCAGCAGGCTCCTCGTTCCCCTTTTTGGCCATGCACAGCCGATGGCTTGTGGGACTGGTGGACAGGAGGAGCCAGGGAAGACTTGCTGGCACCACCCAAGGCATGTGGGCAATCAGTGCCAGGCCTGGAGAGTTAGGGGTCTGGGCTTCTGCAATGGCCAGAGAATTGGATTTTAGCTCTTGCAAGAACCAGGTAGGTGGATTGACTATCCCAAATCCAGGCAGGCTCTCTGTGAGCTGCCTCCAGTCAGTGGCACTGGGCAGGGGTCCAAGGATGGGACACAACTTCTCTGGGGAGTTTTAGGGCCCTGTGCTGACAGCTCATCACTAGTCACTTGCCAATTCCCTGGGAGGAACTCGTCAGCAGGTGGGGTTTCTGCCAGGGTCCGAAGCAAGCGGGCAGCAGGAGAAGCAGGGGGGCCTGGGGAAGTTGGAGCCTCCCACACCAGGCCACGACATACCTGGGAGACAGGTAAGGGAGAGGAAAGAGAGCAGCAGTGGCTGAAAAGGCAGAGGAGGGAGCAGGTAGTGGGGACATGGGTGGGGGGGATGAGGCAGGAGTGGGGAAGAGGAGGGCTATAGGAGGAAGTCATGCCGGGGGCACGGGGAGGAAGGGACAGGAAGTCAAGACCCTGGGTTAACCATGTTGGGGGGCGGCGGGTGGGAAACACAAGGGAGAGGGTGGGGGCAACAGGGCAAGTGTGAGGGTGCGCAGGCAAGCAAATGGAGAGCAGAAGCCCTCTGCAGCCTGGCCCTGCCTCTTTGCCTGCCAGCAGCTTTATGTGACAGAGGGGCAGCGAGCAGATTACGTACAGCTTCAGAATATCCACCATGCTGCCTTTCTGCCTCTCAACCCCCCACCCCAGTTAGTTGAGACAGAGCCACTCCTCTTTCTGGTTTCTTCCTAACTCCCTTTCCAATATTCCTGTGATTTTTATGGCCTGGCACATCCTGTAAACAGAAGGCCAAGCTCCTGATTTCCAAACTGGGATTTGAACCTGCTATCTGCCTCCCTAAGAGAATTGTCCCTTTGACTTCCATCCCTAGAGTCACTCTCTGGTCTCACCAACATCTATCTGTGAGTTTCAGTGGCCCACGATCCCTGGAGTTGAGGATGTAAAGCATCAGGGCCCCACCCCTGGGATGGAAGCTTCCAGGGATTAGTGGAGGCTCAGTAGAGGTGAGGGCAGGCTTAAAAGGGGCTGGATAGGGCTCCTCCCTCCCCATGATGGGAACATGGGAGCTGAGGCCTCATCCTAAGAGACCACTGGAGGGACCCACTTACCCTAGACAGGCATCGGAGGCCAGCAACTGGAAAACACGCGCTCATTGTCAGTACATCAACCTGGGCACCACCTGTAGGGACTTTTGGCCTCCAGCTGTCGTCCAGAGCTCCTGACAACCATACAAGGTCCGTTTGAGGGTCCCAGTCAGGTGGCTTTGTTTCCTTGTCCTAACCCCTCTCCTGAGCCCCAGGAACCACTCAGTAAAAAACAGCCCCTCAGATAGGCTAAGGACCACAAAGCCCTTGCTGGGCGCCCTCTTAACAATCCCCCACGATGCTGGAAAGGTTACAGATGATATTATTGGAGACCTAGAAAGGTTAACCAACTTGTGCAGACATCACCCACTGTATGTGGCAGAGAGAGATCTCAAAACCAGATCTCAGAGTCTGAGACCAGTGCTTTTTTCTCTGTATGGTCATTGCCCCATTCTTGTGTATGGTACATCATAGTTTACAAATCATCTTCACTCACATTCTCTTCTGCTCATCACAATCCCATGAATTCAGCAGATGAGAAGGGCTCAGAGATTAAATAACTTGCTCAAGGCTATGATGGTTCCATGGCGCAGAGCCTGGTTCATGAAAACCTGGCCACAGCCTTGCCTGCCCTCTGCCCTCAAAGGGGAAGGGGCAGATGACCAGGCTCACTGCACCACAGCTGGAGGGCCGGGACCCCTGGGCACCACAGGTGATCTGGGACTGTCTTCCTCCCTGGTGCTGCTAGAGGCTGGCAGTCAGCAGGAGTCGGTTGAAATTTCTGCCGGACTTTGCTATGTAACTTTGGGGAAAGGGATTGCCTTCGTGGGGGGCTTCACCAGTGCAGCTACAAACCCACAACTCCCAGTGCCTCCCCTCTATCCTGGGGTTAAATGAGAGACTAGATGCAGCTGGGACAGGTCTGGAAAGCTACTGTGAGCCAGGAGACTAGACAGGCTAAGGAGCAAAGGAGCAGAGGGCTGCTGCCCTCTGGTGGTGAGAGTGGGTGACACTGCGTACCCCTCTGACTTTTTCAAGTTGACTCTCCCCAGAGCATCCCAGGACAGCAAGGAGAAGCTATAGCCCTCAAGACAGAGATTGGGATATCCCAGGAGGGAGGGGCTCTCTCGCTCTTCATCTTGAGGTACCCCATCCCTCCCCACTCCCTGACCACACATGCGTTAAACCCTTTCGCTAGGGATGGGATGTGGGTTTCAGCCTTTTCCCTAAGAACTTGTAATCTAGGAATTGAAGAGACACAGTTCAAGAAGATGGGAGAGGCGGCTTCCCTGGTGGCGCAGTGGTTGAGAGTCTGCCTGCTGATGCAGGGGACACGGGTTCGTGCCCCGGTCCGGGAAGATCCCACATACCGCGGAGCGGCTAGGCCCCTGAGCCATGGCCGCTGAGCCTGCTCGTCCGGAGACTGTGCTCCGCAACGGGAGAGGCCACAACAGTGAGAGACCCGTGTACCGCTAGTGTATCGCTAAAAAAAAAAAAAAAAGAAAAGAAAATGGGAGAGAAGGGGAGGGAGGCATAGTGAGGTGAAGGAAGGGCACGTTTGGGGGGTTAGAGGTGGGAGGGCTGTCCCCAGGCCCCATCTAGAAGGAGTTTCAGCCTTCCAGAATCCTGGCTGATATCACATGTTCCCCAGGGGCCAGGCAAATCCAAAGAGAAAAGGTCAAGGGATGCCACTCCCCTTGTAAAAGTAAACATGGACAGACATGTGCCGGGCAGATACAAAGATAAAAAAGGGTCTCCAGGAGCCACCCAGAAGCCAACTTTCACTGCCCTTGGTTCTTTTTCTTTTCTTTTCTTTTTTAAATTTGGTGGAATAGTCTACTGGTTTTTAATCATGTTCAAAACTTCTCATAGCAAAAGAAATAGTTACATTTCTTTCATCTAATACTAGGATTTAGGGAAATCAGTTAAACATTTATTTGGTGAGTTGCCCTTGTTTTAGTCCCCACAGCAGAAAGCCAGGCATCCTGGGTTTCTCCCCTCAAAACTGAGAAGGCTATGCTGTGATACCCACCCCTACCCCAGAGTAGTCAGAGGGACCCCAGGCCCCGCTTGGATCTGGCTCCTGTGACATTCAAAAAGGTACTCGCCTCTGCTAGCTTTGTCCTGAGTGATCAAATCCTTTTGTGGTCACCAAAAAGGGTCCCTCAGAGGAAAGGGGGACAGGACCTCTGAGCTTCTCCTGCAGGCTAGAGTAGAGAGAGAAGGGTTTCATCAGGCTGGCAGGGAGTCCACGTTCTAGTCCTACCTAAAAGCACTGCTTCTCTCCCCCCCCACCCTCCCTGTGCACCTTTTTACACAAGTGCTGCTACATTACATCTATGGGAATAGGGTGGGAGGACACCTGGGGATAGGGGAGGGAAACAAGAATAGGCCCTAAGTTTGAAATGCCCCTCTTAATGGATGGATGGAGTTTTAGCAGCTTTAACGGTTTTCTACGAGAAACATGCAGGATAAGGATGTGGTGGGGGCAAGGACCCCAGAGATACTATAGTAACGCGTCCTCTTAGTATCAACCACTAGAAACCAGATTCCACCACTAGGCTGGAATTCTCTCCCTCCCCCAGACAGCACTCCCAACTTCGTCATGGTCTATTCCTTGCTTACCATCACCAGCAGTGAATAGGAAAGGCCCAGAGAGGTCAAGCTAACATCCTGGGTCACACAGCATCAGAATCAAGATTAGAACTCAGGGGTCTCTACTGCCTCTTGGGAAAACTGCAGCCAGAACTTTCCCTATTGCCCCCCTGGGTTGTGAGCTTGCAATCCTGACTACCAGGGTTGAAGTCCTGGAGCTCTCGTTCCAGTGAGGAAGCTGAGACCCTGAGTCACCTCTGGTCTCGCCCTGCCTGGGTGGACAAGCTAGGAGGGGATCCTCAATGGGCAAGGAGGTGGCAGCTGACGGTGGAGTGGGGGGAGAGATATTTTTAGAGGTGGCTGGAAAGCAGGCACTCTGGCACACCCCCAGCTGGCGGGTGCTTCGCTCCAGTGAGGGGCGGCGGGCGGGCAGCTCGGGAGTCGAGGGGACTCGTGGGTGGCAGGGAGCAAGGGAGCACGGATTCCTAATCCTTGTCCGAGTCGGGGACGGACCTAAACCCGGACAGCCCGTTCCTGGGGTAGAGAAGGGGGACTCATTCCTTCGCCCCGGAGACTCCCCCAATGACACGCGCGTGAAAGAGCGCTCTCAGACTCAGCGCAGCTGCCACCCCACACTGGGACCCCAGCCCTCCCCACCTCGGGAAACCCAGGACTCACGTGGGGAGCGGTGGCTGCAGACGTCTGTCCTGGCTGAGTTTGGAGTGTAAAGAGTGGGGAGAGGGGCTAGCTGAGGTATTTGGGCGCAGGATGGAGCAAGGGGTGTTTACGGGAATTGGAGGGGACGCGGTGTCTTATCCGCCCCCGGATTTCTGGGCTCTGTCTCTCACGAGTCCCTCCACTCCCGAGGGGCCGTGGATGATGCACATCTGGACCGTTCTCTCCACTTGCCCCCCATCCCCACCCCGGGCCGCCGCTGCGTCCCCTTTAAATACCCGGGAGCCTGAGCCGGAGCCCGAGCCGCGGTTGGCGCTGCGGCTGCCGCAGCACCCGGGCCCACCGCAGTCCCCGCACGTCACAAGCGGCTGTCCAATCACAGTGGCGCCGGAGAACATTAAGGGGGCGGGCCGCCGTCAGGCCACGCCTCCCGGCTGCCCCGGAGGCTCCCGGAGCGCAAGCGAAGGTGGAATCGGGAGCTGCGGGGAAGGGAAGGAGAGTGGAGGTGGAACGCGTCCCTTCAGAGGGGCGTGGGTGGGGGGCACCCTCATTAGAGCGGCTGCGGGCCTCTACGTAAGTCCTGAGCACACACCTGGGGGTGCCCGGGCTGTGGACTTTCTCCACCGCCGCCTCCAGAGCTCTGATCCCGGAGATTTGCAGAAATGCACCCCCATCTCCAGCCCTTATTCCGTTCTGCTCTCCTAAGCCAGAGAGCAGGGATCGGTTGACCCCGCCGAGGAAAAGCAGTCCTCTCCCACGTGCGCGTAGCTAGGTGCCCTCTGCCCTCCAGGCGGAGTCACTGCGCCCCGCTCCTTGGGACCCTTGCTCCCGTTAGAGGTCACAGGGAGTTGCCGACTTTCCCACTCCCCTACCCTGTAAACAGTAAGTTGGGGACCAAACTCTCTGCCCCTTTGCAAGTAGTGTGGTAAATAAAAAACCCACTTTCTCCTCGCTCGCTGAGTCCTTTCGTAGCCACACCCGCCCCACCCTTATGCCCTCCCACCCTGGTTGTGAGGAGGAGAGATTATGTTTAGAGAGGAAAGAAACTTATTTACTGAGAACATACTATGAACCGGGTATCGTAATAGATCGCAGCACTTATGGTTGAATGTTGAATGTTGGTTGAATGGTTGAATGGTTGAATGTTGACAGCAGGAAAAATTGAGTTCAAACCCAGGCACACCTAACTCATGGGGGTCATAAAGGGGCTGTGTGGGTGGGGAGAAGGTGGGCAGCCCCAGGCCTGGGGCTAGTCTCCCTGGCTCCGCTCCCGGGAGAAGAGAGGGCACAAATGCAAAGGCCCTGAGTGATCTGGAGGCCAGTGGGACTGGAAACCAGAGAGGGAGCGACGGTCAGCCAGGGAGTACCCTAATCTCTGTGCCAGGGGCTAGGGGTACATTGCTAAATAGGACAAATGTGTGCCATGTTTCCACATATACAAAGGGGAAGCAAGGCTTTAAATCTGCAAACCTGACCCTTAAAACCCTTGCCAGTAACTCTCAGTGCCCCAGCTCCTTCAACTGGTTTGCTGCTCCACTTCATCTCACACCCCTGTCTTCACGCCTCACCCTTTCCTCCTGCTCCCCTGCAGGGGGCCCTTTCCTTCTCAGGACCACGCCCACCCCGTTTGCTGAGCAAGCTCAGCCTGGACATCATCTCTTGCCCTGTTACACATCCTGCAGCTCCTTTTATTATACTGATCACATGTGTGCTAACAGACGCGTAGTAGGTGCTGTAAATGTAGGGGGGTCCCTGGAGAAAGAGATCAGGCATGGCTTTCTTGACATGAGAGAGGCCGTTTTTTTTGTTTGTTTGTTTTGCGGTACGCGGGCCTCTCACTGCTGTGGCCTCTCCCGTTGCGGAGCACAGGCTCCGGACGCGCAGGCTCAGCGGCCCAGCCGCTCCGCGGCATGTGGGATCTTCCCGGACCGGGGAACGAACCCGTGTGCCCTGCATCGGCAGGCGGACTCTCAACCACTGCGCCACCAGGGAAGCCCGAGGGAGGCCATTTTTGACCTAAGCCATTTTGTGATCTGATCCTGGCCACGGTGCTTATCATTAACAGGTCTCAGTAATTCATGAGTTTAAGGAGAGTGAGGGAATGCAGGAAAAAAGGAAAAGCAGTCAAGAAACAATAGCTCAGCTATAAAACAGAGTCCTGGTTCCTCCTCAAGGGATCTGCATAACAATCTGATACATATCTTTGAGTTCTGTAGGAACTAAGGCCCCTGCCCAGGTGGAGGATGGAATGAAGACGTTGACCCTCCTGACTTTAATCAAGTAAAGCTTGAACTTTGTTGACCTATGCCCCAGTTCTATGCTGAATCTCCTTTGGGAAAGATGCCTGGTGTTCTTCTTACTGACTTTTTTTTTTTCCCCCCCGTACCGCCTGGCTTGCAGGATCTTAGTTACCTGACCAGGGGTTGAACCCGGGCCACAGCAGTGAAAGTGTGTTTAAATAATAAATTCTTCCTTCTCCTGCTCTTTGGTTTGGTTGTGTCTTTCGGCTCAACACCCACCAAGGGGCGAACCTAGTTTTCAGGTAACATAAATATTTTTCCATATGTCAGTTCATGAAATCCTCACCACCCTATGAAGTGGGTGCATGGCTCGTTTTACTGTTGGGAAATCAAGGCACAAAGAGTTGAGCTAGACTAGGGTCACTCAGCTGGTGAATGGTAGAGCTGGGCTTCCAACCTGGCTACCTTAATCATCACGCCACACCCTCTCCTTCAGTGTCTGCCTCGCTGCTTCTCCAGTAGGGCAACATGAGGTCAGAGACCATGCTCGTCTTATTTATTAGTGTCCCCCTAGTCCCTAGCATATAGACCCTGGCACATAGTAGGCCTTAGATATTTGCTGTTGAATGAAACAAGTCCCCTGCTGTGTTCACCTCAACATCAGTCTCCTCAACGTTAGTGCTCCACTCGTGCTCCCTGTTAAATCTTCACACCAACAGTCACTTCGGATTTATTTCCATTTTACAACAGGGAAATTGAGATCAAATGACTTGTCCAGGGTCACATGCTCTCAGGAGGCACTAGATTCTATTCCCTTTGATGCAATTAGCCCTTTTAACCTTGTTTTCAAATTCACCCCTGGGGCTGAAGGAGGGTTGGGCAGAGAACTTTCTGTAGCCGCCTATAGTGAGTTCTTACTGCCTGATTTCGCCTTCCAGCCACAGGAATG